GTACTTCAAGTCTCGTCTTTGAGTTTCATCAAGTCTACACTCCGACAAGCCTTGAAGAGGGGGGAGGGGGGAGGGATATGTAGACATTGAAATTTTGTGGGACTCTACATGATGTGTTTAATTCGAGTTGGACTCTACAAGGTGTGTTCAATTTCGATTAGGATTCTTCCAGGCTACTCAACCCAAACCCTAATTATTATTTTTTTAAACCTAAACCCTAATTCATGCCTATATAAATGTTATTATATTCCCTTGAAAAGACATCTCGAATATTCCGCAAATTCATGGAATATTCATAGAGATCAAAACCAAATCATCCTAGTACGAGAAATACGCCACTAATGGCACTTGAATCATGGATAAATCTTATGACAGAAGAATCAAGGGAGGAACAAAATTATACCCATATTGATTAATCAATAAAGTATTCTTGTTTCTTCATAATTTTATTGTGGTTGATTTATTTTTCTGTCACTTTAAAATTTGTTGCAAACAAATTTGCACGTCTAGTGGGACCAAATTTACCCTTCATCTCTACTCTCATAAATAAAATTTGAATCTGCAAAGGTGGAAGAATGAGTACTTCAAGCCTCGTCTTTGAGTTTCAACAAGTCTACACTCCAACAAGCCTTGAAGCAGGGGTCATTTGTAGACTTTGAAATTTTGTGGGACATTACAAGACGTTCAATTCGAGTTGGGACTCTACAAGGTGTTTTCAATTCCAATTAGAATTCTTGGAGGCTACTCAACCTTATATCCTAGTTCATGCCTATATAAAGGGTACTATATTTCCTTTAAGATGTATCTCGAATACTCCATAAAATTCATGAAATATTCATAAAGAGATCAAAATCAATCATCCTAGTTCGAGAAATATGCTACTAACGGCCCTCGAATCATGGATAAGCCTTTTGAGAGAAGAATCGAGAGAGGAACAGAATCGTACTCACAATCTTGATCAATAAAATATTTCTTCATATTTTATTTGTGATTGCAGTTTATTTTTTCTATCACTTTAAAATTTATTGCAAACACCAGGATTGGTGTCTCATCAATACATCCTATTGGACTCCAAAAATGTATGTTTCAGACATGAAGGCAGTAACCGACGAAGATAGAGTTAGTATATGACTGCCAGCCCGGAAATAATGGAAAAATCGCAAAGTTAGTGACCTAATGAAAGATTATGAGAGGGGTGAAACTGTAACACCCCAAAAAAAATATTTCTTAGCTAATAGTCAAATCTTTATGTGTATGCTTAAAGGTCTGTATTGGGTGATTCTTAATTGTGTATAGGTATTAAGATTAATTCCTAAGTGTGGGAAGTGTTTTGGAGATCAACTAAGGTCCTATGAATAGTCTAGTGATGCATGATTTTACTTGAGTCAACTTCAAATGGTCCTATCTCTCAGAATATGAAGAGTTAGGTGACTAATGACCTATCAAATTAAAGGGCTATGAGCCTTCTTTCAACACCACTAAAATTGCGTCAAATCGAGTTCCGAGCAAAAGTTTTGATCATTTTAGTTTTGTCAGACATTTTGTCTTACAAATGCATTTTGCCAACGTTGAACAATTCTGATTCCAAGTCGACGCACAAGAATCTTCAAGAAAACCTAAGTTTATCATCTCCAAGCTGAGTTTAAGGATTTTATCAAGATTTTCACTTTCAAGTATATGAGATTTCATTAATGGGTATTTTTTCACCCATTAATTTTCGAAGAAAATATTATTATTCAGTTAATCAAATTCTGCAGAATCTAGGGCTCTTATGAAAAGCATGAACTACGTCATATTTCATCTTTTTCATGAATAGTCCATGGATACACATTTTAACTTAAAATTAAATATTTTGTATATAGGTATTTTCGTCAGCCCTCAAAATAGGAAAAAATCATTTCTGTAAAATTGTGTTGGTTAAATTGCATGCTTTGTTTGGGATGATAGAGTTTGTTATGATCAGTTGTACCATCAATCTTTCAGTTCCACATATATATGATGTTTTTAGATAAATTGTTTATTATTTGAGTCTCATATGTTAGCACTAATGAGCTATCTAGTTTTATTAGTATTTTATATTTTATCAGTATAATTCAGATGGGAATATGTTGGTTAATATATCTCCCACAATTCAGTCTCAGATTTGCATCACCTTGTATTTAGTTTACACGGTGCAATGTTGATTAGTTACATGCTTATTACTTGGTCATTGCATCAGCTTATTTATTTCAGCTTTATATTCAACTCAACATCTTAGATTTACCATGTTCAACTTATTAGATAAATGTGCATATCTCACATACTTGGTACATTCAAAGTACTGACCGCATACTCTTTTATGTTATACTCTTCAATAATATAGATTCAAACGCTCAATGACCAGCTCACGGTACCATTTTGAATCATCTCAGCAGAAAAGTTTGGTAAATCCTCATCTTTCGAGGACAAGAACTATTGTTATTTTTATATTAATCTTTTAGTTTCAATGACTAGAGTTAGTTGGGGGCCTTTTTCTGCAACCCATCTCAGTAGAAGCTTTCAGATAGTTAGACAATAGTTTCAGTTTTATGGTTTGTTCAACAAATTCAATTTTGACTATTCAGTTGGTTTGGATTTACCTCAGTTTAGCTTCCGTGTCAGTTATCTTTAGCTATTGTTTATATGAATCTTAGTGTCATGTCAGATCATGACTTGATTTGAAATCACTTATAACTCTAAGTATCGTGTTATGAACAGTCTCAAATCGTGAGACCTCATGAGGTCTCTTTTCTGCAATTTTAATTTTCAGTTAATGCCTTAAGGCGACTTCGTGAGGTCTCTTTTCTAGAGAAATTTAATTATTTTTAAAAAAAACAGGAGACCTCATAAGGTCTCGTATTTGTCTTCTTTTTTTTTTTTAATAATGGCGACCTCATGAGTCGTTATTAACTAATTAAATAAATTTAATGAAGTATAGGGAACTCATGAAGTTTCTTTTAGTAAAAATAAATAATGAAATAGCGACCTTATAATGTCTCTTTTTGTTAAAAAAATTAATAATAATAATAATATGATAATAATAATGATAATAATAATATTTTTTTTTTTATTATGATTATTAGTACTACTACTACTACCACTATTATTATTATTATTATTATTATTATTAGTTATTTATTTGTTTATCTATATATTTTAACAAAAAAGGACAACAAAAATGTGATATACCGACCTCATGAGATCTCTGATTAGAGACCGGCCGCCAAGGTCTCTTTTTTAGGAAAAAAGACCTGATTACAAATTTCTAAGTGATGATTAGATATATATTCTTTACTTTGCATTTGTTAAGTAAAACATAGTGAAAATGCATAACTTATATTTTCTTTTATATAGTCATGTAATTTATATTCGTATTTATTTTTGCATGACTTAGTATTTTTACGTTATGACTTATTAATTATCAATATTTATTTTATGCAATTTTACTATTTTTTTGGTTGAGTATTTTAGTCCAATGTCGTATTTACTCATCTTATATTTCTTTTTTGTTAGTTTGTTAATTATGATTCACCATAGATAGTCATAACTCATATTATACGTGGATTAAAGACATATTTTAAGTGCAAGTCATATGTTTTATATGAAGGCTTTATCAAAACAAATACCCGAAAAAGTCTAGGTTTTGGAAAATCCAACTTTCATTTATTCGATTTAGTTTATAAATTTAAAAAATCGATATAATTGTTTTGATTTTATATTTAAAAACGCAAAACAATCCAAATTATATACACCCTTACTTTTTATTCCTTTTTAGTAAGAACTTTAGAGATCAATTTGTAAGGAATGTGTACCTTCGGAATCAGAGTTACTGTGGTGCAATTTATGGTCTTCAACATCTTTTTTGTGTTGATAAAATATGTATAGCAACATCAGATACTTCATTAACAAGATCCATGTTTTTTCTATTTTTTTTTTAATTTTAAAGTAGGCATTGACAATAAATAATTTGTTATAACATGAAGTTAAACTTTACTATAAAAAACTGATAATTGTCTATATTTGTAATTATGATTTGATAAAACAGAAAAGTAACTAAATAACGTGCTAAAATTAATGAAAATGAACTAAGACATTCTCCCTTTTTACTGAACTTATGCTTATAATTGTATAACTCCATAGAAATTAAGTGGCATGATTTGTTGTTGTATTATGATACGAAAAAATAGGAGCGTGAATGATAAATTTAACCAGTGTGGTGCAATTATGAATTCCAATAATTATTTATAAGATAAAACCTAAATTTATTTCTTTTCACTGTATGAAAAAAACAATATTCTATAACTCGTGTTGTTGAGCCACACGTCTTGTTCACTTTCTCTACCTTGTACAGTTGTACTCATGGATAAATTATTATTTATTTAGTGAAGAAAATGAAGTTCAATTTCTCAAGTTTGACATCCTTTTGTTTGGCAATGTTGTCTGAGAGGACAAATTTTGACATCCATTTGTTTCTTAGTTGAACATAAATTCTGGATTAATAACTTATCTTCCAATCCTAACTAACAATTTGGTATGCGTAGAATTTCTCAAATACTTGTAAAAATACGAACATGGGTATCAAAGTTCTGAAAAATTGAATTGACAATAAAATACCAAGTACACATTTTCCCCTTGTATTTTCCCTTCAGTTCACAACACAGAACACCAAAAGGCGACATTTCCAATTTGGATGACAAAGATAAGTACAATATTGTTACTCCTTTGTAGTCCGAGGACAAACAAAATAAACGTCTTCAGAGACAGAAAAAAATAATCAGCAAATGTCATTGCATGCTCCATAATTAGGTAGCAGCTACCTGTAGTTTCATCTTTTCAGGACTTCAGCATCCTGAAATGGAGGAGCTGGATATCATGCCATAACAGGTTTTATAGCGTCTCATCAGCTGGACCTCATCGAAAAAAATATAAAACTGACAAAAGCGCATTATTCTTGGGGATCGGCATCAACCATGCATAAGATTCACATCCAAGCACCTACGCGTACACTTCAGAATCAATCTGCTCAATATTTGGGAATATTTGTCTCAAAGTACTTACATAGTTTGGAGATTGTGCCTGCAACCATATTAGAACGCATTAGTGAGGTTATCAGAGAAAGCCTTTACCTTTGTGATGTAAAAGATCTAATCGATCAAAAAAGATAGAGAAATCTCCTACGAGCATGAAATGTAAGTTCAACCTATATCGACGTGCCAAAAAATATACCAAACACATTCCTAATATAACTTGATTCTGGAAAAAGAAAAAGATTTTCATGATCAAGTCTAGTCTTTAGACAAGTGAGGTAGCTAAAGTGGCCAGAGCATTCCATTTCCGACATAGAGGTCAAGTCTCACTTACAACCCTCTGTCAATCCATATTTCTAGGATGCCTTTACAAGGTAAGACCCAGTATCCTATCTTGTGGAGTCCAGGATTGATGTATAAATTCTCAGACACGGAGCAAGGTCTCACATTCGCCTGGGTTTGGCCATCTACCAGAATGCAAAAGCACTAGGAACCCAAGTCCATGCGGCTGAAATTTCCAAATGAACAGAGGGTTGGCACACAAATCAAATATAAAGCCCAGCTCATAGATAATGAATCCAGCTTTTCTATCCCGTTGTTCACCCTGCAATTAAAGACAAACCCTTTCCAGCCGTCAGAGTTCAGTCTTACCTTTTTTATCTCTGCCCTTGCCAAGTGTTTCTTTCTGAAATGTTGTGCCTCAAATTCATCAAGCAGGCAACCCAGTGTTGCTTCCATAATTTTGGCTCCAATGCTCAGGATCCACATCTTTGAACTTTTTCCATTGCTTAGGCTTGCATCCTATGTTCAGATTTTATGTAATCTTTCATACCCTTTTAACATGTAGAGCTTTCCTCAGCTTGGAGTTTGACATGCCCTTACAAATTCTTATCTTAGGTTTCAACACCCACAACTTCTTTGGTTTTAATTAGAGACTACATGCCAAATCTCCATTGTTTGTCTTCAGGCTTGTTCCTTTTTTAAGTATTGAGCTTCTATACCTCAATGTCAAAATGCAAAGCTTTGTATGCTAATTGATAAAAGAAAAGTCATCTCATGGGGATTTCACACTTCCATTCTCAACATTATTGGGGTTTCAAAGGAGAATCTTATGTCCTCTATACTTTGGGGTGATTAAAGTAGTTATATCACTCAACCAAGGATGTCTCTAATTCGAAGAGAAATCATCACCAATTGGTGTGTTCACGAGTTGATATTGATGACTTGAATATTCTCTCATCTTTCAGTATCCTGTTTATGCGTTAAATCTAGAAGTTGACAACACTTTTAAGGAGCTGGAGCCAAATAGATAAATTGTTGGAAGTCTAAAAGGAAATATATAGATAATTCACTCTGCATGACACTGTACACTGTATAGAGCAGAAGACAGATCTGCTGGACATTAACCAACCAAGGTACGACACAATTCAATGATGATTTTTGATAAAGCAAGTTTAAGAATTAATGGATTGGCTTACATAGTGATGTACAGGCAGTATAAGGGGGAAGGGCCAATTTTTAAAGACTGAAATGTCTAAATCTGAAAATACATCTGAATATTAAGATGTTGTATATAGATTTGAATACTGAACTATTAAGACAGTTTGTTTTCAAAAAGACGGTTTGTTTTCTCAACATTTGAATGTTTATAATTTATCTTTTTAAAAAGTTACTCCGTTTGTCCCAATTTTTGTGGCACACTTACTTTTTTATTATGTCCCAAAAGAGTGACAATTTTCTATATTTAGAAACAATTTGATTTAAAATTTTCCATTTAATGAGATGATATATTTTCAAAAGTCATCAATTTTCTCTTAAACTCCGTGTTCAATAAAAACATGGCCACATAGAGTGGTATGGAGGGAGTAATAAATATTTAAAAATTTAAATACAAATTTGAATATTATATTCTTAGGGGTTGTTTGGTAGAGTATAAGAATAATGTAAAATATAGTGTATTAGTATTATGCTTGCATTAATTATAATGAGATCTTTCTTATGCAATGTTTGGTTTGGTAGTACTAAAAATATTATGCATTGCATAATTTTTTTTAAAAAGATATTTGTTTACAAAAATACAAGCATAGTATTTTTTAGTGGAGAGTATTTTTGTAAACAAATATTTTTAGTGGAAAGGATGTGAAAAAGTTTTTGAGGGTCAAATGTGTCTATCAATGCTAATGCATGCATTAGAACCCATTGCATTGCTAATGCATAGAAATTCATGGTATTAGTAATACACTCTTCAATACACAATAGAGTGTATTACAAATACAAGCATTAGTAATGTATAAGTTAAAAAAGTGTACCAAACAAGGTACTAGTAATACACTAAGCTAATGCAAGCATTAGTTTCTCCAATACACTCAACCAAACGACCCCTTAAAATATTAGGTAGTAAGGTGTAGTTTGGTGGTGGTATTTGGAGGTGGTGGTTAATACCAGTGGTTGTGCAGAAGGAGTGTTGATGGTAACGGTTGGGAGTGACGGTGGCGGTGGTGACTGAGATGGTAGAGATGGTTGGTGGTACTAACAAGTGATGGTGGCAGTAGTGTTGGTGGTTGGTAATTGACAATGTTAGTGGTAATTGGCAATGGAAATAGTTGTGATGGTGGAGTGGGTAGTGTTTGTGGTCATGGTGATTGGCAGTGATGTTTGACAATTGACAGTGTGATGGTTAGCAGTGATGTTTGACAGCGTGATGGTGGAGGTCGTTGGCAGTAGTGGTGGTGGTGGTGGTTATTTGTGATTGTGGGAGTGGTTGGTAATGGTGATTAACAATAATAGTTGTGGTGGTGGTTGGATAGTGGTGACTGGTGGTAGTGGATAGAGTGATGGTGAAAGGTCACTTTCTTAAGAATCTTTAATTGAATAGCGGATAGCCTCTTAAGAGTTTTAAGACTTTGACCACGATTTGAATGACTCGGATCTATTAGACTCATTAAGTGGTAAATCTTAGAAAAAATAAAATGCACTTAAAGTTGACAATCTTTTGGATGATCTAACTCCATGAACAAGTTCTCTTTTTGATGATCTCTTCCTCATTCAAAAATATTTGTTATAGTATAAGATTCAGCACAATGATTTAATTTAGAATAGCATTTTTCTCCCTCGCCCAGTCGTAAATAATTGTTTAGGCTTCATTCTCTCAATTTGCTTTTTAGAGCTATGAGCTTCCTTGCAAGTATTTAGTCCGGTCTGCCTTCAATGTCAAAGGAAGACCACCACATCTTTACTTTATGACTAAAACCTTACGTCTCCAACTAGAAATTTTCAAATTTGAAATATGATTTGGTTAGCTCCCAGTTACCACAATTTTTTAAATAGAAGAGTGGGGTCAGAACTGATTTTGGATAGGATTTCTTGCTTAATATTTCTGAACATATCATCCCAATCCTCTAAAACAAGAAACCTATCAATTCTAGATAATATTTCCCTTAAACCATGTGTAATTGCCCCTTTCGAGCTGTGGATCAACCAGCTCCATGTCATCAATAAAGTTTGAGAATTGTCATTTGTCTGGTGCTTTTAGTGCAGTTCCTTGTTTTAGAGGAAAATCGAACTATGTTGTAATCACCATTCACCACCTAATACCCAACGTCCAATGAGTAAACCCCTCACAGCCCCAATCTCCCACCATACTTCTTGTCTTTCTCTGTTACAGTTGGGAGAATAAATCCTATCATATGTCTATTAAAATACTGAGTTTGAGACACAAATTTGTAGGTCATGGAATATGATCTGGTTGCAACTATCTCCCCCATCCCATATTTTGGTATCCCACCACATTAGAATACTCCCTGGTTCCACTGCCTCCAATTGAGCATATTTGACTCCCCTGCTTACTCATATATCTGCTTAATCTTTTCTCCAATGTCCTCTTATAATTTTATCCCCTGAAAATAAAAGAAACCAGCCTTCCATTTAAGGACTAAGCTAGTTATCACCCTTCTCTTATCTTTGCAATTAAGCCCCCTTCCATGTTATTATTTTGATCTTCATTGATCCACGTTCTTCTTCTTGTTGAAATATTTGCCTCAACTTCCATCAGTGATTGGATCAATTTCCTTTGAGATGGGGTCTGTAAGAGGACCTGGGACTCATTAAATAATACTGGGCCTGAAGAGGACGTAGCCTCACTTATAGATTAGAGTTTTGGACCAGCGACCCAGCACTTTATAGTGATCCCTGATTGTTGACATGTGCATCATCCTTTTTATCTGGCTTCAATTTAAAAATAGGTTTAAATATTTCAGATCCCACGTGTGTCTCTCTCTATATCACAGTTGTATCGCTTATCAAGGAATACAAATTCTCGAACAAAAGACAAAGTTTGAACAGAATCTCATGAAAGGATAAAATCACTAATTGAAAGAGTGGCTCAGACCCATTTCAAGACGAAGGATGTAAAATGCAGAAAACCCCCGAAAGAAGTTCGAGATGAAGGAAAAGATCTCCAGAAACTACAAATTCAAGTACAAGCAAATAGACAACCTAAAAAAGAGCAAAACAATTGCTGCCAGTTTATACTACAAGTATGCGTTAAGGTTTAAAGACACATACACAGGGATTGCGCTCAAGGTAAATGGTTGTTAGCTTCTCTCTAGTACCGGTAACAGCTTCTTCCAGTCCTTCTAATGATGCTATATTGTTGTCATTAAGCCACAAATCTTCTAGTCTGCAATAAGAAACAAAAAGTGAAGATGAAGATGATGACTAGTCCTGGCATTAGAGGAGTAATTCACACATTTGGAATTGCCAGGAAAAATTTCATACTTGGTCAAGTTCTCGATGTCATTAATTTCTGTAAGCTTATTTGCTGATACATCCAAGACCCGCAGGTTTACCAAGGTAGACAAACCTTCCATTTTCACAATACCATTGTGGCTCAAGTATAATTCTTCAAGGGCTACACATTCCTGCAGATTGAAAAACAACAAAATAACTCACTCTTAAAATGAAGTCGTCTACAATGACAAAGCACAACTGTTAGATATCAGGACCTGAAACCCAATCATGGAAGTTAAACGGTTGCTCTGCAGGCTAATCTTTTTAATACATTTCAAACCGCACAAATTAACTGTTCGAATACGATTGCGTCCAAGCCAAAGCTCTTGTAGATTTTTCAAATTTTCCAGAAGCTCCATAATCTGTATCAAGAAACAAAGAACTTCAAAGGTATCCACGGAGCCAGGGAAGCTACATAGTATACTCACATTTACAAAAACTATTATGATAAAAAAATTTACAAGTGTAAACTGTTGATAACTATATAATTTCTTTAGATGTCATCTTCAAGAGAAACTAACCCGTAATCTATTGGACCCAAGTTCAAGTATTTGCAGCTCGTAGAAGTGCTCAATCTCCTCCATCTTGGTGACTTCATTTTTAGACACATATAGTTCTCTGAGTGTACTGGAGACCTTGGACAATCCACTAAGTGATGATATCTCATTGAAAGAAACATCAAATACCAGAAGCTTCTTGAATATCACAACATCGGGAACTTTCTTCAGCTGATTGTCCCTAAGCACTAGCTCCTGGAGAAGACAGTTCCACAGGCATGATTTCAGATAACTTTAACAAGCCTATTTCTGTCGCATCTACGATCAGATTACCATACAAGAAGCAAACCAGTTGAAAGTTAAAGTCTGAAAATAAGTTGTTACAAAGCATTTTTTAAGCTTAGGTACTTTCAAAGCTTTAAAAAACAAAATTAAAAGGACGAAAAACTGCCAAGTTGTCGCGCTACACACTAGTATTCAACTTGCAGAGGTGAATCTGTTGAGCATCTCTGACTAACCAACACTATAACATCACTAAAAATGTTAAAGAACTTATATTTTCCCTCTCCTAAGAAATAGAAACTAAGATCATTTTGTAAAGCAACTTAGACTGAAGAACAGAAGAAAACGACCCTTATATAAGAGATTCAATTCTCTGCCCACATTCCCTCCCATCCTCCGAATTGGAGTGTGAAATTAGGTGGGGAAAAAAAACATGACTCAACATACATAAAATTCCAAGATGCACCTAGCAAAGCCCCTCCAACCATGATGGCGATACTAGAAAATGTCTGTTAGAGAGAGAAATGCTCTCAGGCACATTAACCGAGGTTAGAGAAAGACCTTTTCCTTTCTGGCTGAAACCTGGTTTCCCAGTGTCCTTTTTAGAGAATGCAAAGTTTCAGAGCAACATGGGGGAGAACATAGTCTATTTTGCAGCTGGATTCAAGTTATATGATATCACGAGAACCAAATCAAGGACGGATGCATGGTTTGACTTGGTGGAAAGAAGCAGGAGTCTCATGCGTAGAACCACGTTTAGCAAGAAAACCATGGAATGGTTATGTTTTGCATTGCAGGAAGCATCAAAGGACAAAGAAAAGCACATGAGAAGATGGAAGCTTAAGGAACAACAGGTTTAGCAGATTTATAAGCATTGTGACAGCCCAACGAGAACATACGACAGCAAAAACAACATACCCTGTATACAAGGAGAAAACGTGACAGCACAAAGAGAACAAACGACAGCAAAAACAACATACCCTGTGTACAAGGAGAAAACATATCAGTCATTATTATCTAGAGGTTACAATTGATATTGGATGGAGGGATATTGCTATTAAGATCGACAGATCTACTAATGAAGATACAGGGTCATTGATGACAAACATCCCAAAGAAGTATTAACAAAATCGTTGTGATTGACGGAATCGGAAACTGTGAGACTGATCTGCTTGGTAAATGCAAGGTGGGCTTTTTCAACACAATGGATGGAAAGCCAACCTTAGCGGACGTTCGAAGATGGTCTGTAAGCACATGGAAGAACGCCTTTGCCGTGAATACATATGATAAGGGGAACAATTTTTTCCTCTTCGGATTCCCAACAAAACACATGGCTGAACATGTTCTACAAGGAGAATGGAGGTGGAAGAAAGAAAAAATCCCTCTGGAGTGGTGGCATCTGTCTTTTGGGTGTTGCTCAGATAGACAGGAAAGACGATATGTGGATTTGATCCATGGGTTTACCTCTGCATTTCAACAACATACCCAATGTAATGCCACATGTGGGGTCTGAGGAGGGTGGTATGTGCATTGTACGCAGTTTTACACCTACTTTATGGACAAAAACAATATTCAAAACTGTCGGGGATCACTATGGTGGATGATTGGAAACATAGGAAACGTTTCAAAAACAAAAGAATCACTTGAAATGGGCAAGATAAAAGAGAAGAGTTGATGGGAAGAGTGTCTCAATGAGGTGACAATTGAAGTGAAAAGGCAAAGTTTCATCATACCAATTTGGTTGTGAATTTTGTAATAGCCGGAGAAGAATCACTGTCAAGCTTGGAGGATTGTTGGGTACTTGAGAGAAACAATGAAACTACTAGGTCAAACAGCTGTAATATAAAGATGGGCTAATCACGTGGGTCTTGACGGGTGTAAACAGACCAGCAACTCTCTTTTGCGTAAAGAGACGCATGAACGTAAGGGGGCAGATAGGTGCTCGTCTTTTTATTGGGCTGACCTAGGATACTTCATTTAATAACAGGGAAGTTTCTGATTCCAGTCCAGATTTACTCAAGACACTATAAAATCTAATATCTGTGATGCATGTGACAAATATGACCGTATAACGGATGAAATAGAGGCTAACATGCAGAACAATGAAAGAGAATTTGGAAACATGGAAATTCAAGACAAGGGAGAAGAAGACCTACAATTTCAGAACTCGAAAGAGTTGGATATACATGAAGATGTTGATAATTAAGAAGCTGGTATGACAAATATTGAAGGGGAGACCCCAAATCTAGATATCCTTGTGAACAGAGGGGACATGCAAATGATTGAAACAAAAATCTTGGGAATATGGACAGTAGAAGAAACTGAACCTCTGAAGATACAAACAATGTAGGGGGGAATTGAAGGGGAACTGGATGTGTCACTTTGGGTATACCTGAATGTGATAAAACTCGGCAAATAATTTGCGGTCAACTTTCAGGGGAGTGAAGAGGAGGCAATGGCTCACTCTTATTAAAATAGACAGTTGCAGACAAGCAAATAGACAATAAGAAGCTTAGCAGCTTGATACCGTATAGTTATTGCAATTTTGAATATCACCCTTGTTCCTGTACAACAGGATCACCATACTGCATCTCTACTCTTCGGGCATTTTTGACGTCCTAAAGATAACGTTAAACAACTCAGTTAGCCACTCCATACATCCTTTTTCTGCGTTTTCCAAAATTCCACCGGGATCTCGTCTGGCCCAATGGCCCTTCCCCATCTCATCTTACAAATAACCTCCTTCACCCCATCAAACGTTATACCCTACAGTACCAAAAAACTCGCCAACTCTCAGAGTGCTCTAAATCGCCGCACAACATTCTTGTCCCCCTCTTCATTCAAGAGTTCATGGAAGTATGCTTGTCATCTTAGTCTAATGTGTGCCTTTTCCATCAATACTTTACCTTCCTTATCTTTGATACACTTTACTTGGTCCTTGTCTCGAGCAGTGTTGTTAAAAACGCTGAAGCACTCGCTTTAAGCAAGAAGCAAAGCGAGGCGACAGAGTTGCGCTTTAATGCCTTGAAGTGAGGCGATAATAAAAAAGTGTCCGCTTCTGTCCCAAAAGCGAGAAGCACACTTTTTATCAAAGCGAGAAAAACCTCGCTTAAATGAGATAAGCGCTAATTAGGGTTTTTTTTTTAATGTCTGTAAATATACTTGCGCACATCTTTCCAATTATTTTCCCTCCTTGGTCAACTGTTGCGACTGCTGCTACAGGTTAGTTCTCTTCTCTTCTTCACTTCTTCTCTTCCTGTTTCTCTACAGTACTGCATATGTTTCTCTTCTTCTCTGGTAACTAGGATTTTTTTTACTTCAATTTTCTGTTTGTAATGCTACTCAAGTAGTGTTACTCTGTTCTTTTTTCTTCTGATTTGAGGTTCTAAGTTACTGCTCTGTTGCTCTGTTCGTAATGTGTATGCTCTGTTGTTTTCTTTTTTTGTTTTGCTGGCTACTGCTATGTTCTTTCTCTATATGTTATGATTTATCAGGATTATTGACTATCTATTTACTTTTTAATCTAAGAATATGTAACCTCTATTCAGTTCTTGATTATTTATCTATACATATTTAACATTTTTTATTTTAATACTAAATACTGCTTTTTTTTAAAAAGTGTGTGCTTCATTTCACACTTCTCGCTTCGGTGAAGCGAGCCCTCGTCGCTCTTTTCCGCTTCTCACTTCCCAAAACACTGGTCTCGAGCCCTCCTCTCTCTCACCTTGGTGAGCATATACAACTTCTTATCCCCCACCTTTATCCTGAAGTTCCTCGTACAAGCATTCAAATGCTACCGCTGTAACAACTAACTTCGTTTCCTTCTTTGTCGCCTTATACCTCACCCTACTTACCCTCATTTCCTCCTCGTATTTGCTCTCCACCAATTCCATATAAGCAGCCTTCGTGGCTTTCACTTTCCCTTAGACTGTTCCATCCACCACCAATCCCCCTCCAACATTACCCCTCGAGACTCTCAACACCTCTCTAGCTACTTCGTTAATGCAATTAGATGTCCTATCCCCCATACTACTAGCATCCCCACTACTCCCTCATCTCCTAAGATTTGGCAATTAACAAGTCACACCACTTGATTCTTAATAGGTATACAAGGCTCTCTTCCTCTTAATCACTAAATCCATTGCCAAAAGCTTATGTTGGATAATAAGATACTCACTCGAGATAACCTTGCAACCTTGCAGTCCTTACATAAACTTCTATCACACATTCTAAGGAATAAGTAATCTATGTGAGTCTTAGCCACTGTACTCCGTAAGATCAACATGTGATCAGTGGCCAAGACTCATATAAATTACTTACTCCATAGAACATGTGATATTAAGTACTGTAAGGCTACTCGAGTGAGCATCTTATATAAGCTCTTTCCAATGGATTTTGAGATTAAGAGGAAGAGGAAGTTAAGGGTCTTTTATGACCTATCGAGGATGTAGGAATTGGAAATAAGGACACCATGTTGGTGGGGAAACAAATCCCGGACATTATCTGAATGCAAAGGACGAGTACAATTTTCTAGTTTGTCATCTCTCTTTCCACTTTCTCTATGGCTCCTAATCATCCATCAATATAATAACAATCGACACCCAAAGACTTAGCTCAATAAGTAGTTATAGATAACTAAGTGCATCCTTGATACAAAGGACTTTGTTGAAGGATGCATAACCACTGTTAGACTAGCAAGGATAGAGGCTATGGAAACCAATAAGTTAATAAAGAACAACAAGGGTCACATGAAGTACAAGCTTTACGAGGGCCACTGAGAACAGGATGTCAGGGAGCTTCTCAATAGGGAGGGAGGAAAACAAGAAGGGAGCAAGTGGGAAATCTTTCACAAAATAAATTCACACATGGAGTTGATAGGAATTGGAGAGAAAAGGGAGGTACAAAATAACATTTTGGATACTAAAGCTCCAAAAAAATGTCTTTTGACTTGGTGCACTGTGCATGATGCAATTTTTAACAGTAGATAATTTAGGGCGACAGCGAATAGTTACAAGTTAGTGCTTTCTATGCAGGCACCGGAAGATATAAATCATACATCACTATATTAAAATTTTACTGCTATATTAGGTGATTTCTTTATTTAACATATCACGATGTTCTTAAGAATTATTATTTTTATGACAAGGGAAACTCGCAGCCACTATCCTTTGGGTGCGCACAGGATAAAACCCTCACTCCTATGCAATAGCTCGCAAACCACAAAAGAGAGGTAACCCGCACTAGGCTCGCCCTTGCTTTCGCTGGCAAGGGGTTTCGAACTTGAGACCTCCAACATGGAAGTCCCAAGCTCAAACAACTGGGCCACCCCGAAGGGTAGTGTTCTTAAGAATATTGACAAGCTAGAGGTTATAGAAAATTTGAAGGTAAAGTAAGGTAACTTAGAGAATGACACCAATGTGCGTCCATAAGTTTGTTTTTATTTCATTATACCTTTGGCATAAGAAGAGAATCTATTTTGTATAGAGAATTGGGTTAACCTGATAAATATGTGGTCGAGCAACACAAACATTATGAACATATTTTTCAAGTAGACTTGGTAGTCCATTAAAGGAATACTTCTGGCTTATCAAAAATAATAAAAACAAACCCTAAAATTGTAATCTTTCAATCATGGCTAAGTAAGGTTTATCAATGTTATCCAAAAGAAGCCTACACTACTTAAATATAATTTAGGTTAGATAGTCAATTGCAGTATCACTGAATTGCATTAAATATTAATCAGTGTTGTAACCATACTGATAAGGTTAGACAAGAAACTACCATTGTTTCAGTATTTTATCTGGATCAATGAGTATGCAGTTATAACGCATACAAATATACTGAAAATTTTATCTAATTTAATGCTTCAGTAAAAAAGTTCCACTATTTCTATTTGAAGATCATCGTTATCATTGGAAGAAAAATATTATCCAAATGCACATCCATTCAATCAACATAAAATTTTAATGGTGTAATTAATATGAAAGTAATCCCCTTAAATAGTAATCAAAATCTTTAAAAAAAAATCTTATGGTACATCAATATTATGAACCAATTAAAGCCTACATCACTTCCAATTACATAGTAGGTTAGATAGAAAGTTGCGGTCTGTGTTGCTCGGACTCTGCAAAAATGTTGCCGCACCCATGTCGGGTCCTCCAAAATGCCCTGTTTTTGAAGACCGAGCAACATAGGTTGTGGAATCATTGAATTCACAAATCAAAGTGCAAGCTAGGCTAGTACTACCAACCATACAGATAGCCAAAGATTCATCATTGTCTCTTTCTAAGCAGTTTTAGCTCATGAGGATATGCTCATAAGGTTATCTTTTTCTACGTAAACCTATCAATCAGTCAACTAAGTCTCAATTCCAACTCAATTGAGGTCTACTGTATAAATCCTCTACATCGACTCCTCTATTCAGGTGTATTTATTTTTATACTAACTGATTTTCTACAAAACTCGCTCTTATCCCTACATAGGCATTCAAGTCAAAACCAAAATAAATGGACTCCGGCAAACACCAGCCTTAATATAGGTGAAACAACAATCGTCAGTTTCCATTGTATTCTATTCTTAACAAAATTTGAATGAAGTTGGGAGAAACAATAGGCCTTTTTGATACAATATTTCTTCATGTGATTTGAGGTGTACATTTTGCTCTTTTATCATGGGCATCTGTGGAACAATTCTACCAAAATTTAAAATCCACTTGTAATTTAAAGGTAATCTTCATTCTAACCGCCAAAATCCAAGATTTCTTGAGCAACTAAATGCTGCCAACAAAATCAATAAATGATCTAGACCTCTGTCCAAATTAGTTCTGTTTAGGGCTATTCAGGTTCATTTTCAATCCACTGTGTGTGCCGTGTGGTATATGACATTTATTTTGATGTTCAAAATTTGTTTCATCAGTTAAATACTGCAATCCAATTTGCAAATCAACAAGTATTATGGTAATGAATCCGCAAGTTGACATGTACAGTGAATAATACAACATACCTCGAGGTGAGAAATGAGTTGCCAAGAGGAAAGAGGCTCAACGGCGGCATCGGTTATGAGGTTCTGACGAAGAGAGAGTTTCTTGAGGTTAGGGAGTTGGCCAATACGGGGGTCTAAAGCAGACAAACGATTCGTTGTCAAGTCTAACTCGGTGAGACTTGGAGGAAGCTCCACTGAGTCCAGATCGTGAAGCTGGAAACTCGTAAGATCAAGGACCGTTGCTGATTCCGACATTGGATCGCTACTAGGTTTTTCATCGGAGTTGTCACTTTGATTTTCCATTAACGGGGTTTGTTATTTTCTCCGTAAACGGCTGCCGCACCTCCACCTCTTCCTTATGCCTTTCCTCTTCCTTTATTTCCTGCCTTCCTTCAAGTTTTTCCTACTTAAACTATGCCCCAAACTTAAAATATCATTCAAGAAAACATTTTTTAAATATTTAAAATTGAACATTTTTCATCCTTCTATTAGATATCATTAAAAAAACTATGAGATCCTACAAAAATATGAGCATTTCACATGACTATCAACAAAAGTCTTCATGCATAATTTCATTACCTGCTATAAGAAGTTCTGAAAAAAATATTAAAAATCTTAGACATTATTTCTTATTAAAATAAAAAATGTTTGGAACGTGTGTGGATACATATCTGCTCTTTTTCTTATTTAGTAACAAAAAGAAGCTAGAGCTTAATTATCTTCACATTTTTCATAGCAAACTGTATTTAAATCAATAATTTTTTGGGTCAATCTGAAATTGAAGTGATCAAAATATTGTTTATGTCTCGCATTTGAGTTTCATTCTACATTATTAGAAGCAGAAATCTCCAACAAACGTCGCTTCTAGCATATTCAATTGAGAAGAAACATATTTCAATTAATAATATTTTTAATATCAAATTACATAAAAGTAAATGAAAAAAAAAACTGTCAAATTAAAAGATTTTGCATAATGCTAAACTCAAATTATCGAACAAGTTCATGATAGTATTTTTGGCGTATCGAAGAATAATAATTACGAATGGATGACTTGATTTGTGGGATCAGTTAGTTTTCTGATAAATTCAAGTAGAAGGATGAAAATTGTTCATTTTTAAATATTTGAAGGATTTTTTCTGCTAAAAATAATACTTTAAGGATGTAGTTTAAGTATGGGTAAAGTTTAAGGATGATTTTGTTCAATATAGTAAAAGTAAATTACTACTTACCCTATTTCTTTTTCTTTCTTTTGGGTAATAGCTTGTAAACTATAAAAACGGAAAAGAAACTAAAATATACTTCAACTATTTGAATTGATACAAAATTACCATTTATCTATTTTTCAGCTTCCATACCTATGATGTCAACCTTTTGGCTCAAACGTACTCTTATTTTCTAACGGGTTGCACTCATAAGGTGGATGAGAGGACAATATTATACCAAATCTCATAGTTTAAGAATATTTTAGGCACTTATCCATTAAAATAATTTAAAATCACTTAATATATGTGCTCATATGATTAACCTAATTTCGAGTTTCATAGTAAAATCAATTCATTCCCCCTACTTACTCTCTCTTTTACTTTTTCTTTTCTTTTTGGATCGTGACCATTATTTTAAATTTAATTTTTTTAAAACTTATGACAAAACAATAGAGAAAAAAGAAGGACAATAACGAGGAAATTTATATAGAAATAATTGGTTTAATAAAAGATAATTTAATAACATTTTTTCTTTTGTGTGTATCCAAATTTAAATAAACAAATAAAAATAATTTTTCTCCTCTCCCTAACCTACCCCACCATAGTAATAATATAAATTAAAAGAATACGAACATCTAAGTTCATTTAAAGTTTAAATCTCTGACATTCTAATGAATAAGAGATGAAAAAAGAAATAAAAGAGAAAATGAATAAGACAATTGAATAATTACTAGAAAATTTCATATTAATAGAAAAATATTTTCTTATATGGACATTCATATGCGGATTTTAGATGGATCCCAAGCTATGAGTTAGGCTATAATTATAAATTCGGTATTGATTTGAAATAGGTCAATAGAAAGATATTATGAAATTAATCATTTTTTTAATGTTACTTTCAAGTGTATCGTGTCAAAATATCAATTATATGCGATTATTATTATTTATTTGAGAAGGGTTTAAATTTGCACCAATCAGATTAGGCAACATAATAAATAAATATTTAATTATTTAACTTTAGGAAAGCCGCTAATAATAAGGGCAAATATGAGCCGAATGGTTAATATCGAGGGTAATTCTGAACCAAAAGGTTGACGTAAGAGGTATTTGGGGTCGAAAGGTGGATGGAGGGTAGTTTTGTACCAATTCAAATAGTCGAGGGGATAGTTGAGGACATTTTAGGCAATTTTCTGTATAAAAAAAAAATATGTAAAGATTGTTGCTAATCACTTGAAGATTTGGTGGTGCTGTATGAAAAGGGACATAGTAGATTTTGTTTGAATTATCACCAAGTGAAATATGAATACCAAAAGTTTGGAGGTGTGACGACTCAAACGATGCCCATATCAGAGTGGATGCGGCAGTGGATTGCTATGGACTTTGTGATAAAGTTTTCACGTACCTTGGGTAAGTTTGATGTTAAATGGGTCATTGTGGATCGATTGACTAAATTTGCACATGTCATACTGGTTCAAACTAGTAATTCAGAGAAGTTAGCCAAGATCAACATTCGAGAGATAGTTCGTTTGCATGGAGTGTCCAGTTCTATTGTTTAAAATCGAGGCACACAACTTACATCTTATCTTTGGTGGTTTATGCAGAAGGAGTTGGATACTCAAGTGAATCTTTATCACGTCTCGAGCTTATACCTTGGACAAGGCCAGCACTCACAACTATTATTGATCACAAGCGAACTTTTGGTCTAGCTTACTAGTAAATTGAAGACTGGACAAATATGCAAAAGGTGTACATGCAACTGCAGTAGAAAATCACTTCAATAACTTATAGGTAATAAATCTTAAAGAAGAGATGTTGATAAAATAATTGATAATAAGACTTAATTGGCTCGTCTATAAAGCCTTTAACATCACTACAACAAAATTTGATTATCAAGCATAAATGATTTCGTCACTTATAAATCATATTTCGTCACCAAAGATCTTGTGTGAAGAAAAAAATTTCGGCAATCAGTCCACATTGAATGTGGTTCACTAAAAGTATACATAAACGATTTAGGGCATCGTCACTAAAAAGGTTATATTGACTACAAAAAGAAAAATTATCTCCAAGTGCATTAATATTTGTGACAAATTTATTTGTCACAAAAAGTGTAATTTTTTTGTAGTTAATTCTATGATTTTGTCACTAAAAAAAGTATTAATATTATCGATAAAAATACATTCACTAATTATTTAGTTCAATAAGTGATGACATCAACTGTCTCTAAAGCTATTATATTTCGTAGTTGAAGAAATGTAATTTTATCACTAATGATTGCTTTTTATATACCAAAAATTGTTTCGTCCTAAAATGTATAAATCATGGACAATATTATCATTATAAAAAAAGTTGATAATTTTGTAGTGAAATCTATCATCTTGTCACTAACAGTATATTTTTACCGACAAGATATAACTATTACTATAAATTATCATGATTAGTTACAACATATATTGTCACTAAATGTAGTCAACTTGTGATGAACTAATTTATTTTGTGATAATAATATTTGTCTTGAAATGTTTAATCTAGTCGTTGCTAAAAGTTATCTTTGATGATAAAAAATTTGTCAGTAATTCACAAATATTTGAGGACATTTAATTATGTCATATATTGATATTATTTTTAAAAGGGAAAAGGGACGGATTTACCCCCGAACTTTAATAAATGGTATGTGTATGCCCTCCGTTATACTTTGCGTCCACATAAGCCCCTGCCGTCCAATTATTGGTACACGTATACCCCTCTCACTAACGGACCCCTAATTTCTTACACGTGTCTTAATCTTATTGAACTACCCGTTTGACCCCTTTTTTTAACCCATAACCCAACTATCCGCCCCATAACCCAATACCCACCCAATTTCCTCTAAAAGGATCCTAATTAAAAAACACCCAAATTAAAACAACAAAGTCCGTCCCTTTTCCCTAGTCGGAGGTCCCCGCGTATCCCTCACACCAAAACCCTAGTCGGAGCCGCGATTCCCTCACACCAAAACCCTAGTCGGAGCCGCGATTCCAGTTTGTCTTCGTCGATTCCACCTTTGTCTCGTCGAATCTTTCGTGTGTTCTTCGATTCAACTTGTCTTCGTCGAACTATCGTGTGTTGGTCATAATTTTGTAGTCAATTTTTCATCTATCTGTCGTCTCCCTCAAATCAGACCTAAAACCATGTCTGAAAGTTCTTGTGATTCAATTAGTAACTCCAAGATAATGACTTGTTTTTGTGGCGAATTGGCTCGTTGTTTCACTTCAAGGACTCCATTGAACCCCGGAAGAAGATTTTATAGATGTTCTAAACCTAAGGTACATTTTTCGCTAAATGTAAATTAATATGATTTGTGCTTGTATTTTGGTGATTATGAGTTCTTTCCTTTGTTATTTTTATTAGATTGAAAATTGTGAATTTTGGAGGTGGGAAGACAGTTCTTCAGAAAACTCTTCTATTGAAGTTAATTTATTGAAGTCTAAATTGGAAGTTGCTACGTTGAAAATGGAGAATTTGAGAGAGTCGTTGAATGCGGTGAAGATTGAAAGAGACAATTTGAAGAAAAAATTGGAGAATTTAGAGAGTTTAAACTACTTTGAGGTGAATAAATCAAGAAATTTGGAATCTAAAGTGTCAAAGTTGAAGATGTTGTGTATATTGTCATTTACTGTGTTTGTGGTATTTGTTGTTGCAATTTTCAAGTGATTAACTGGTAGCATGAGGAATATATGTTGTTGAATTGTAGTTTCAAGGGTCGGTTATTTCAAGTATTTGTAGTTTCAAGTGTTAGTTATTTCAAGTATTTGTAGTTTCAAGTGTTAGTTATTTCAATTGTTCCTATGTATTAGTGAATATTATGTTTGAATGTTGGTCATTATTTAGTGTAGCTATTGCTTCAAACGTATTGTAAAATTTCAAGTGTTGGGTTTGAACATTATTTTGTGTCTTTTGCCTTAAAAATTTGTAGTATTTATTTGTGTTATATTAGTCAGTATGATGAAGATCCTTTGTCAAAAAAAAAAGTTAGTATGCTAAAGATGGATAAACTTTTTGGTATTGCCATTATGTTTTCCTTGAATTTAGAGAATCTGAAAATGAAATGAAAGCTTGTCTTACCATTGTTTATGAAACGTGTTTTCAGGTGTTATTAAACTTGCACAAAGACACTATTAAACTATCAACATGAAAGTCACTAACTTTTTTTTTAAGCGAACAAAAATTCCATTACTTATCCGACAGCATCAGAAACTCGGTTTAACATCATCCATAAAGTCTTAAATTTAAAAATCGTGCTTTGCTTGCTGTGATTGCTTGGTGATTCTTCAACTCACAACACCAACTCTGTGATTGCCATTAGCTCTAATAAATCTAGGACTTGGAAATCCATTCAACATGGATGGCAATATTGCCAAATTGGACTTCTTTGGAAACCTGCGAACAGTTAGTTTGGAAACCTGTCGACCATTGACAGAGAAAATGGTCTAAAAAAATGTATACCACAGCAAAATACTATTGTACATCAACAGAACCTAACAGATACAAGACACTATATAACATTCACTTGGTCATATATAAGCAAAACGACAGTTTTAGCTGATACACTCAGCCTATACAAACAGTAGAAGTAAAACAGAGTACCAAAGCTACAACTTTAACCTTAAAGGCATCAGCCTACAGTACTACCAAAACATCACAAAAACATCATTTAAGGCACCAGCCTACACAAAATATACCAAAAAAATAAGTTTAGCCTTAACATCATTTACGGCACCAGCCTATACAAAACATAGCAAAAAGACAAGTTTAGCCTTAACATCAATAAAGGCACCAACATATACAAAGCAGTACCAACACAATAGCATCATCCCCTTCTTGGCCTCAACTTTTGTAGCTGGTTTGTAGTAACTGCACCCTGTCCATTCCAAGTTAAGCCAGTTGGTCCTATGGGAAGATTTGTAGGTTCACTAACACCAAATTTGTCACCTCTAAAGCGTATTACTCTACTTCCAATTGGTTCTTCTGGGTTCTGTTTCTTTCTCAATCTTGTTAGAAAAGCTTCTTCTGAGATTGTTCTTGGCCTTAGCCTAGGGTCTTCATCATCATCCTCAGTTACTGGAAAATAGCTGCTGGAAGAAATATATTCAAATTGACTTTCTTGTGTTGGTTGTGGGGCTGTGCAGTTGATGTCTTCCTCAGAAGCTTCATCTTCATCAACTAAACCTCTCCTAAGTTGCCTCTTTTTTTCCTTGCCAGATTCTTTTCCTTGCTTAGCAGGTTGCTTCCTCTTTTTTCCCTTGCCAGATTCTTTTCCTTGCTTAGCAGGTTGCTTCCCCTGCTTCTTAGTAGGTTGTTTCCCCTGCTTTGCCTTATTAATCATAATAGAAAATATATAATTAAATAGTAAAATAGAATAATTATTTGATGAAATTAAAGATTAAATGAAAATTACCTTTTCACATCCTCTTGCATTGTGATTTTGTTCTCCACAATTACTACATGTCATCATTTTTCCTTTTCTTGTTTGCTTCCATACTCCTTGCCTCTTAACAGCTTCATCCTTTTCTCTTTCCCTCATAAGCTTAGGTCTACCAACAAGCTTGGCCAATTCTGGTGGTTCAATGGCATGCAAAGGATCATATTTCCAGAATGGTTCTCCCCTAACAGGTTGTAACTTGTGTTTGTAAACTGCCAATGCTGCCTCTTTACTATAATACCAATGAATTTCTTTCTTTGGTATCATTTTCTTGTGCTCCATGGCCTTAATTGCATGTGGACATGGAATTCCAGTCAGATCCCATGTTCTGCATGTGCATTTTTTATCTCTTAAGTTGACAATGTGTCTATTTGCACCTTCAGTAACCTCATAGCCACTATCCCCATTGCCATTCACCTTACAAACCTTGGAAATCTTCAAATACTGAATAAACAACAACTCACTTTTGGGACTAAATCCATCATCTTTCCACTTCCTCACATCAACCTCTTTTGCTGCCAGCCTCTCCATTGTTTTGACCCTGATGTCTTCCAACATTCCAATAATTGGCTTGTACCTTGCTTCAAGTATCCAGGCATTGAATGATTCAGTAAAGTTATTGTCCACAGCCTGATTTTTGCACACTGTATCTAAATAAGCTTTGCACCATGTTTTGGGAGGATACTTGTTTATTAAATCCTGTCTAGCCTCTCCATTAACTTCCTTCATCTCTTGAAGTTGGTCCTCAAACTCCTCTGTAAATGATGACCATGCAGCCCACCATAGCAACTTTTTCAGCTCACCTTTACCCCATCTTTTGCACCAATTTGCCTCAATATGCCTTGCACAATATCTCTGATGTGCTTCAGGTAAGACTGTCCTTACTGCTTCAAGCAGCCCCTAAGTATCAAATTAAAACAACTAAAATTAATAAAAGAAACAGTATCAAGCAAAGGAAAATAAATTGCAAATTAGTTGTATAATATTACCTTCTGCATATCTGATATGAATGTCAGTCCTTCACCATTTTGAAGTTCAAGTGAATGTTGCAAATGTTGCATAAACCATGTCCAAGTTCTCTTAGTCTCTTTATCTACCACAGCCCAAGCTAGAGGGTAGAAAGAGTTATTACTGTCTTGACCAACAGCACACAATACCTGTCCCTTAGTTTTCCCTTTAAGGAATGTACCATCTAACCCAATAAGTGGTCTTAACCCAGACTTAAAACCCAACTTCATTGCCTTGAAGCAGATATACATCCTAAGAAATTTTCTCTTACCATTAGATAGTGCCTGTTTAGACAAATCTATCACAATGTCAGACCCTGTATTACAACTTCTCAATTCAGTAGCATAACCCTCTAACTTATTGTAAGAGTCTACAAAGCTACCTTCTAAACTCTCCAATACCTCTTTTTTGGCTCTCTTGCACTTTGCTTCACTTACATTTAGCTCAAAAACTCTATGTAAATCAGCCTTCATTTCTTTGACCTTGTATTTGGGGTCACTTTGCAATTTGTCTTTAAAATACAAGGCTATTGTTGAGTAATCTACTAAAGAGTTATCATATGCTGTTCCACACTCTATATGATCTACAAGTGTTTTGACACTAACTCCAGGAGTGGTCAAATCCCCAGAAATAAGAAGTAAAAATGGACAGCCATCAGCAACACATGTATACCTCAATCTTTTTTTATCACTTTTCACCACAACTAGTTCTACCTTCTTAGCTAGAGCATAAAGTTTACAAAACTGTTTTGCTTCAGCTATGTCCTTGAAGGCCATACCCTTAACAATCTCCTTATAATCTTGCAAACTATCAGTTATATTCCTCTTTTTTTTAGTAACAAAATTTTCTAATTCATCTGTATCATAATCTGAACAACTAAACACCATTCCATTATTACTGTCATCTTCACTTTCACTACAGTCTGTGCCCTCATTAACAATTGGTGAAAGTAGAAATGACCCATCATGCATGATAATATCAGTTACATCAACAGACAATTCACAATCTTCAGTAGCAAACAAGTGAATAGATTTATACTCAGTAGAGATAAAAGATGTTAAGGTCTTAACTCCCTCATCACCTATTATTTCAAAATATTTCCCAGTTGGAGCAAGTACAATAAGTTCTTGCACACCAACAAAACCTAACTTATTAATGTACTCATTCACTAAGTCAATAAAAGATATTAGGTCAGGATCATACCCTTTCCAATAAGTCACACATCCTCTATCATAATGTGGTTCTGGACTGGTTAGCCACTCACCACCATGATGAAAGTATATGGTAACTTCAACCATGTTAATGACCTACAAAGAGTTATGAAATAACATAAGTAACAGTGAGTATAAAACAGTGAGTATAAGTCACATTGAGTTAAGAAAGTCAATTAGTAAGCATAAATAAGTAAGTTAATTAGTAAATAAGTAACAATGAGTATAAGTCACATTAGGATTAAGTAAGTCAATTAGTAAGTCAAGTTAATTAATTAAGTCACATTGAGTTAAGTAAGTCACATTAGGATTAAAGTAAGTTAGTTAATTAAGTAACATTGAGTTAAGAAAGTCAATTAGTAAGCATAAATAAGTAAGTTAAGTAAGTCACATTAGGATTAAAGTAAGTTAGTCACATTAGGATTAAGTAAGTAAGTTAGTTAATTAAGTCACATTGAGTTAAGAAAGTCAATTAGTAAGCATAAATAAGTAAGTTAAGTCACATTAGGATTAAAGTAAGTTAGTCACATTAGGATTAAAGTAGGTAAGTTAGTTAATTTAGTCACATTGAGTAAGTTAAGAAAGTCATATTAGTTAAGTAAGTCACATTTGGATTAGTAAGCACATTAGGATTAAGTAAGTCAATTAGTTAAGTCACATTTGGATTAAGTAAGTTAGTCACATAAAGTAAGATAGTCACATTAGGATTAAAGTAGGTAAGTTAGTTAATTAAGTCACATTGAGTTAAGAATTTCAATTAGTAACATTGAGTATTATCTCTTTTTAACTGAAAGTGGTCCACAATTAACAATTAAATAAGCATTATCTCTTAATAACTCAAAGTGGTCCACAGCATAAAGGCATGAATACAAACAAAAAATTCCAACAAAAAATAAAGTAGACCAAGTCAAGGGAATCTGAAACTACTTTACCAAACCAACAAATCATAAACTAAAGGTCCACAACATAAAGGCACGAATACGAACAAAAAAAAACATTTCTTTAACACAAAAACTGAAACGTGAACTTCATTTTCTGGAAGTGAAACCTTATAAAGTGTACTTCATTTACACTCTAAAACAAAAAAAAATAATCTTTAATCCAATAACTAGAACGTGAACCCTAGAAAGATTTTCACTATAAAATGCATATTTTACACAATAAATAAAGAAACAACAAGAAAACTACCGGAATAACAGCAACAACAAATTTATTTACTATATATGAAAGCAAATCGAAAACAGCAAAACAAGAAAACTATGAAATCGAATGGGATATTTGGGTACCTTTGACGAAGACAAGTTGAATCGAAGAACACACGAAAGATTCGACGAGACAAAGGTGGAATCGACGAAGACAAACTGGAATCGCGGCTCCGACTAGGGTTTTGGTGTGAGGGAATCGCGGCTCCGACTAGGGTTTTGGTGTGAGGGATACGCGGGGACCTCCGACTAGGGAAAAGGGACGGACTTTGTTGTTTTAATTTGGGTGTTTTTTAATTAGGATCCTTTTAGAGGAAATTGGGTGGGTATTGGGTTATGGGGCGGATAGTTGGGTTATGGGTTAAAAAAAGGGTCAAACGGGTAGTTCAATAAGATTAAGACACGTGTAAGAAATTAGGGGTCCGTTAGTGAGAGGGGTATATGTGTACCAATAATTGGACGGCAGGGGCTTATGTGGACGCAAAGTATAACGGAGAGCATACACATACCATTTATTAAAGTTCGGGGGTAAATCCGTCCCTTTTCCCTTTTTAAAATTAGTCGTATAAATTGAAAAAATAATAAAATATGTCAAATAGTAATAAAATTCACCCATAATCATACAATTAAAAATAACAAAAATTTGATGACGTTCAAATTTGTAAATGGTAATAATTCACTAGTTTTTCATTAATTTGATAATTTAAAAATGGTGACAAATTTTCTCATATTTTACAAGATAAATTAATTCAGAAATATAAAAAATTTACAAGGAAAAGTCTCAGTCGCTATAAGTTACATGAAAATATATTAATTTGACTTCTTGACAAGCATTAACTTTATTTTTTAAACTTAGCACACATCACATAATAATATAAATTGATAACAGAATAAACATTAAAGATAATAACTAAAAGTATCACTCGTAATTGTATAAACTAGAACTAAAATAATATTGAGTTAATAGCTCATTACAAAATTTTTTTGTATTATGCTAAATTGCTAATGAAAAAATATAAATGCTAGTCGTAAATAAAAAAATATAAAAAAATATTACTCTTCATATGCTGATGTTGGCCACTTATCTAATAAAGTACTATGCCTAGCCTTTCAATAGCACCCAGACTAGAGAGGATGCTCAGGCCTAGGCAGGGGGACTGGGTGTTCGAGACCCACAAGCACATTATGCTATTGTAGCTCCTCGTACAATTGTTCAACGGGTTGTGACTTTTGCTCCTGGTTCCTGGGCCATCTATGACTTCTGAGGAGCAGAAGATGTTGGGAAGGTTTATTAGATTGGACCCCTCTAGGTTCATCAGTGTTGTGGGCGAGGATGCCCACGAGTTTTTAGTCAGTTGTTAGGAGAGGTTGCATAACCTTGGGTTGGTGGAGTCCAACGGGGTTGATTTCTTAGAGAGTATGTACCTCGTAGCCTGAGGAAGCAGTTGCGGGATCAATTCAAAGACCTAACTCTGGGATCACTGTCAGTTGTAGAGTATAAGGCAGCTCCATGAGTTGGTGATACATCCAACTATGCACATGTCGATAAAGCTGTTGATATCCCGAAGACGCAACGTCGCGGTGACTCACAAAATTAATTAAATTTTAAAAGAATAAAATAATTTTAAAAGGAGTCGTCACCTAATTTTAGGACAACTAGAAAAACGATTAATTAATTAACTTAAAATAATGTTTACGAAACCAATGAATTCTAGGTAAGGGTTCAAGTTATTTCAAAGGAAAGGTATTAGGCATCCTTCGAAATCCACAACTATGGGTCCCGACTGTAATCATTTTTTCAAATTGAGAAGGAGATAAAAACAATGTACAAATATAATAAACATGTGATAAATAATAAAACAATAATATAAGAAACGACATAAGGTTTGCCTAACGTAAATAATATACACAATAATGAATAAAAAATATAATTCGAACTCCATCCGAATAGCTTCAATTAGAAGCAACTCTAGGTACCTGTAAATACATTTAGTAAAAGTGTTAGTAATAAATAAATATGAATAAAAATGAATGAATCAAATAATAACTTAAAAAAATAAAAAACCGTCTTATGAACATGGGAGACCTTGGAAATCGACAGTAATTTCTTTATCGGCCAATTTTAACATACAAAAAATGTAAACATAAACTAAATTTTCATCTTTAAAAATGGGGAAACCTCTAAAATCGAAGAAAAGATTTTTTCATTGGCCAATTTTAATTGTAACGTATAACATATAATAAAACTTAAACTAAATTTTCGCCTTTAAAATGAGAAGACCTTAAAAATCGACGGACAAATTTTTTCATTGGCCAATTTCAACTTGTTTGTTAACAATTCAATAAAATGAATTAAGTATTAAAATGACTCTAAAACAATCCAAGAAATACACAAGAACCTAGAAACAACAACAATACATAAAGGAAATAATCTTCTAATATGCTAATCCATGTCAGACCCATCAAAAAGCGCAAAACATTAATAACTTGTCGATCAAATTAATAACATTAAATGTAACCAACATAATTGAGAATGATAATTTGAATTAAGCTAAAACTCACCATGAACTTCACCAAAATGTTACAAGAAAACAAGGAAAATAATCAAATATATTTATCAATCAGACTAATCAACAATGGAATGTAATCTGCAAATAGAGAAAGAAAACAGAGCTATAATAGTAAAATAAAATGGACATCATACTTAAATAAAAGATATGAATAGATATGAACCAAACTAACTAAGGATTTTGAATTAAGGGTGACATTAAGGTGTCAAAATTAAATGGCGGTGACATAAGTTTTAATTATTGAGTGTAGGTGACAATTATGTAATTAAGGATTGTGGATCTATGAGGCATTTGTGGGAGTTGCCCTCAAGTTTTTAAGTTGACAGTTTGGTTCATTTTATTAAATGAGGGGTAAAAGGGTAAAACCTAATTTAACCAAATTTGGTGGGAACCAAAAATGGAGGGAAACCAACGAACCAAAAGGGGAAATAAAAGCTTTCCCCCGTCTCCCCGCCGGATTCCTCTTCTTCTACCTCCTCCTCTTCCTCCTCCTCCTCTTCCTTCTTGCTTGCTTTCTTCCCGTTCTCTTCATCTTTTTCTTCTTCTTGTTCATACATTGTTGGTCTTGGCTGCTATTCCTTGTGCTTCTTCTTCTTATCTTCTTCTTGAATCAGATTTAGCTAATCATTGGACCAGATTTCGTTCGGTATCAATTGGCATTACTTCATAAGTGATTGTGTTCACACACCATTATTTGGTAAGTAAGATTAATAGTTCTTAGAATCATTCATCATCATCTAGGTATACCTGCAATTTTTTCAATAATTTGCATCCGCGTTTTCAACAGATGGTTATATCTATTGCAACAGTTGATTCATGTTGAATATTTGGTCGGGCTGACTCTTCAGGAGTCCCATTGTTCCAAATATTCTATTCATCCCGGTGTTGCGAAGATGTATCGTTATATGAGACAACACTATTAGTGATCTATGACATTGTTTTACAGAAAAACAAGATAAAGATACAATTCGACACCTATCATTTACTTGAGTTACTTTCTCATCCGTTCACTTAACTAATAATATTAATCTCAAAGCAAGTGATTTTATTTTGTAATAAAAAAGTCATTGTACTATTATTACTTCACCTATAGAGCAACTTACTATTGTCATTTCAAATACAAAGTCACTCAACTAATACATACAATATTTCTAATAGATATGGTTTTGCGTAGAGTTTTTTGAATGAGTCATTCCAATAAAAAAAAAAGCAGGTCAATTTAATGGTTAACTAAAATCAATACCTTTATATTTCTTTAATAATTAAAAATATTTTGTAGTTTTTTCTCTTTACTCTTATTTTATATTTAGACTACGACAATTGACAACTATAGTAAAATCATATAAAAAATTAGATAGAAATAAATGAGCAAAATAGAAGTACCATTATGATAACAGCAAAATTCTTAAACTTCATTTTTGAATGGCTATTAAAAGTACTAATGTGAAGTTTCATTTTTCAAACCCTAGAAAATCTACACGTCCTTGACATTCTTCAACAGTCATTTTCAATCCAAACTGTTGGAGTAAGCAGTTGGTTCCGTAGTTTTAGAATTCAGCTGATCCCAAGTACTCCATCTCCTCCATCATTGCATATAGCCTATAGGAATGACTAATTCTTCTAACACTAAAAACTAAAAAGTATTATCTGTAGAAGTCTTTCTACAATAGTTGTTCCCTGATTTACAAAAGTGGATGAGTAGATAGCAAAAGTAAGCAAAGTTGTATAAATGTACTACTACCTATTCCATACAAATTATAAACCATTATACAATTCTATCACACACATTCTCAAGTAACTTCAGATACAGATTAAACCATAGTGTCGAACATTATTCACCCTTATAATATGTGCAAGAAATGTTGCGGTGCCATTTGTATTTTACCAGTTACCAAGAATCTCATTTGTAAGAATTTCTATCAGCATGAGTGTCTTTGTAACGCTGGAGCAAGTAGGTCTCGCATTTGATTGGAGGATACCTGATAGAGCAGCAACCAGACAACAACTTCAGTAAGCAATAATACTGAGGACATAAAGGATTTCTAACTCATGTTTTTTAAAAACCAATGAAATATGTTTTCAAAATACATGTTAGAAACTTCATCAGATGTAATTTCCCAAAAATGTATGACCAAACGATAGCTTAGTTTTGTGCCACATGTAGGAATATATTACTTGCCTCAGTGGGTTGACTTTTGATTGGCAGGTTGGCAAGCATTCAACAAGACAGTCGTGACTTGGCTCCACAAAATATGCAATCTGCAAACATGAAGAAGAGTGACAAATAATTTGTTCTCCCTGCCCATTTCCATAAGAGCTAATTTGCTATTCATTGATGCCTCCAGTTAGAACAAGTAAATGCAGCTCACTAAATCACTATACTCTAATAAATATATTAAAAAAAACCTAATCATCTCAGAAAGTGATCGACCAACATTTAATAGATGTACTACAAAACCAAACATGCAAAAATCGTTGTATATGACATAGAAATCTTCTTTCTTTTGGACAAGTTATATCATATATCATATATATATATATATAGTGATCATATTTTATTGACAAATCTCCTTCCATTCACTTACATAATTAGAAAAATATATTATATTATAACATTCTAAAGACATTTCTTTCCAGACTCTTCTAAAAGGTTTGATAGTAAAATTGACGTCATTTATAATATTTCAATATGAAAGCATCCAAAAACCATTCAAGGGCTTACAGAAAATCTTTCTTGACCATTTCCAAGGACCCGATGCAGTGTTGACCTGAACAGAAGAGCAAAAAGTTAGCTGACAAGAAAAAAGGTACGATTAGCATGATTTTTAGAAACGAAGGATCTTAGTGATATTAGAAAAGATCGCCAAAGAATTTGGGGACGGGGGATTATATAGTACTTTTAGAAAAAAGATAGTGAAACCATTATTGCCATGTACTTAAATTCTCAACATGCACAACCATCATATATTACCTGAAAATACCATTGCTCCAGCGCTCAAGCATATCACCAAGATTCACTACAAAAGCACTGTAAGTAGAATGTCAATCACAATATCCCCGTACTTTCTTCTGTAAACTAATTTGTCCATTAGATAATAGAGGGCAGAAACTGCTATTTCACTTTGTAGATGATTTAGACTTAACTTTTACATTGTTAACAAAAGGCATGCTGTCTTTGTTGGATACTGCAGGAGAAGACATGATTCTAAGCAATATCAAACCTTACAAGTTATAACTTGTGATTTACTTACAAATTAGAGAATAGAACTAAGAAACTTATTATGTCTCACCCTCTCAATGGTGGCACATACTCCCAAATCTGAGGCTCTGCATCCTTATCCTTGCATATCTGAAACAGATTTAAGAGTTCATGCTCCACATCAACAACGAATAAATATATCTAGAAAATTCAAACTAACTACTTTGATGATGTACCTGAAGGCCAGAGACATCATCTGTGGCCAAAAGAGTTATCAGACCATAGTCAGAATGTGCACCAGCTCCAAAAATTCCATTTGATGGATCAGAAAGTTTGCCTAGTTTGACATGAAATCAAAATATCAGTTCACTTCAAATAGAAAAGCATGATGGCTCTAGTGATATTTCCCCATCTTCACCTTCATAATGCAGTAGACGCAAAGTAGCAATTGGTTTGCCAAGAAACTCTGGCCGATCAAAAAAGTCAACATCAAGATCAAGTGCAAGGGCTATGAGCCTTGATACTGCTTTTGTCACCTCACTGATGCAGGCCAAAGAAAGGAAGCAAATGATAGAAAAATGAGAAATGCGGGGGAGGAAACAAACTTGAAGATCTAATGCAATATGCTCATTAACAAGATAATGAAAACTTAGAGAGTATAAAGAATATGATTGGAAGACAGTAACTCACAGTGCCTCTTGATGATACTTCTCCATAGTTTCCTTCCATCCAGGCAAGGTACCTTTCAGAATACTAACCAATTTAACTTTTATATGCTTCATAAAATAATGATGTTTGGGAAGGTCATTGTGTATTCCTCCGGTAAATGACTAGAAACCCCTCGAAAGTTACCTGCAGTAGGCCACACATTTGACCCATAAAATGGTCTCTGAGATTCAGGATCATCTTCGGGTATTTCAACACCAATGTAATATCCCTCCTTATAGTCACCTAAGGCCCATCAAAAAGCAGCCAACTAAATGAAAAAGTAGCATTTTCCTACTTTTTATTCCAATGCCATACATTTATTGAAGGAGGTGAAGACAAATGCAGATATTACAGTGTGAATGCAGCTAACTGCCAGTAAATAGTGTATTACTAACCCATAAAAACTTTGTAATGGGAAGACCTCACACAAGATAGTAAACCATAAAACATTCAATATGACTAAAAAGCATGCATCACTATTCTCATTTTCAGATAATACAGACAAAACTATTGTGTGACCTCTATCTTGACTAATCACTAGGTAGCCTCAGCTAAAGTAACTTTTCACACTGTTCTATGATAAGAGCTATCTATATTATTTTTGTACTGCTAGAGTAAAGAGATATTAGAGTCTAACCATCCTACACCTATGACCATTCTCTCTCAGGTAGGTGTCTAGGTGAGACTTGTCATCTTTTGTTTGTAAGTATATCTATTATGGTATTTTTGTGGTTCATCTTAATTAGTTTAATCCTACTGGTAGTGCAGTGAGCATTGGGTATATCCCCTCTAACTCTAATCCAACAATAATAAGAACAAGAGAGATGATGGAGACATACCATTTATTTGATTGTCAGGATCCAAATGTTCATCTAGACTAGGAGTGTAGCCCCGATGTTTTTCATTTCGAAGAAGCTTCATCTTCTCTTCCAAAGGAAGATCAAAGAGCTTTTTGCTTTGAGCGAAAACCTCATCCATAAACTCCTGGCTAATACCATGATTGACAACATAGAAAAATCCTGAATCTAAGCAAGCCTGTGACCAATAGCAAACACATATGAGCTAATGGAGCAATAAGATATCTCAATGGAATATAAATGAAGATGAAAGAAAGGAAATGTGACAAAAGAAAGCAGAGATAGTGGTGATTCTATAAAATGTAGTTAATACAGGTCCTATCCCTTGCAGGGGGCGGGAACTTGGGGAAAAATTGTCTGAGAGACAAAGTTTGATCATTTACAGTTAGGTAATTTCCTGCTAGGTGGAAAGAAAATAATCTTCATGTTGAAAGGTTTTGACAGGACAACAATGACATGATTAAGAGCACTTCCACTCCGAATATTAATTAGTTGAAAAGCAAGCAAAGAGCTAGTGAGGTCCGGAATGAAATATCGTATGTAGTGTTGAACAAGTGAGGAACGAGTGACGACAAGCTCCGCTTAAGTGCACCTCTGTGAAGCAGCCTAGCATCACTTTAGATAGGAGCAGAATGGATGACTTAAACTGAAATTAAGTAACGGACAAAAAAGAGGGCTTCAAACTAATTTTTGGTTCCATGTTTTAACAAAAATTTCAATTTGTCCAACAGATTGAATCTCCTCAAAATAGACCATTCGAACATTTCAGGGTATTTTTATATAAAAAGAAGGAAACCTATACTCTCTGTATCTAATTCAGGTGAATTTCACAAGATAGCTCATTCGTTCTCCGCAAACGTTATATGGTAAGTTGTTCTTTTACAGCTGCTACCATCAGCCTCGATAAATAGCCAATAAAGATCACAACGCTTCTTCATCAAACACACACATGAATACATACAAATGCATAATATATATTACTACTTATTCATAAGCAACTAAAGAGAGGAGCTTTTGGTAGTAGGGTCCTTTAGGGAAGCTCCTCTCTTTTACCTCTTTAAAGTAGTAAATTAGTAGTATCAATAAGTAGTAGATTAGGAGCTTTTGGACCTCACACAGACACAAAATTTTGAAAAAAAATTACTACCACACAAATATATATAATTTATGTTCGATAAAAATTTAAAATTATTTTAATCAACACTACTTAAAATTTACAATGTTAATAATATTTGTAGGTAATTATTATGTAACTTATTTTAGATATAAATGATTTACTGCCACACAAATACATATATATATATATATAAAAAAAAAAACTTTAAATTATTATAATCAACACCACTTAAAATTTTCAATGTTACTAATATTTATAAGTATTCAGTTTTTACTTACATGATTTACTATCATACAAATACATAAATATAACTTATATTTTAGATAAATGACTTACTATTACACAAATATATATAACTTATTTTGGAAAAAAAAAATCTAATTATTTTAATCAATACCACTTAAAAATTTACAATGTTAATAGTATTTGTAAGTATTCATTTTATACTCAATGAGATGATTTACTATCATACAAAAACATATACACAACTTATTTTAGATAAATTTAAATTTATTTAATCGAAACGGCTTAAAAGAATAACTTCGTGAATAAATATTGGACCCATATAAAGCAGAGAGTTTTTGCCACTAGTGTATATATATATAGATAGATAGATAGAGAGAGGTACCTGTTTGAGGAGAGTAACAGAGGTATGAATGTCAGGGCAGGAGAGATCGATACAATGTAAAGCAGAAATGTTTGCAGAAGCAATTCCATCATTCTTCATATCCGTTCCTGCCTTATTATTCATGAAATCAACCATTAGTTTTCTTCTCTTCTTTCCTCGGCTCAACTCCAAATTCACTGATGTGCTTATAGACTTGCCAATGTGATTTTATTTTATACTTAATAATATGATTTTAGAATTTCAAAGTATTATTGCATATCAAGATTTAAGTTACAAAAATCTTTTGATTTTCTTTTTAACACTTACACATAAAATAAAATGGGAAAATAGAATACTTTTGAGAACTCTTCTCTTCCTTCATGTAAACCACCTCAAAGTTCTTCATTTGGATGATTGCACGTCTTTGGTGAATTAAACTGGAGGGAGTTTCAATGTTATTACATCACTTGAAGAAAAATATGGTGAATTAACTGTTGGGGTTCAGGAGATACAAGAATTCACCCAATGTATACAGAATGTTGGAGTCCATGACTTAGGCTTCAAGGGGAGCATGGTGCAATGGTCAGATCAATGAGGATTGTATTTCCAAAAGACCGGAGAGATGTTTGGGCAACCAATTACTTGAGAGTAGATACCCTGGTATTGACATTACTCACTTGATTAGAAGTGCGTCTGATCATGCCCCCCTATTGATATCTTATTCAAGAAATAACACTCCTATTAAGAATGAAACTTTCCTAGACATAGTGAAGACCAACTGGACATCAGACTTTATGGTCAACCCCTCCACACTTTTCCACCACAAGATGAAGAAGGTTAAAGCAGCGCTGACCCAATGCAGTAAGATCACTTTTGGGAACATAGTGCAGGAAATAGAAGCATTAGAGGATGTTATAAGGTGCATGAGGTACAGTTTGAGACACAACCCTCCCCTGACAACTGGGAAAGACTTCATAGAGTTCAAGCTGACCTGAACAAATATTTACATTTGGAGGAACAATTTTGGAAACATAAGGCTGGTATGTAGTGGTTTCAGAAATACGAGATTCTTTCATGCATATGTTCAAGAAAGAAGAAAGAGACAACAGCTCAGAGCAATACAGGATCTGAATGACAATTGATTGGAGACCAGTGAAGAAATAACTGAGGCGTCAGACTTTCCAAAAACTAGTTCAACAAGAATCAGATAATTTTTAGCTACTAGACCAGGTATGACATTTTGATTTCAAAAAAAGGTACCAGGTATGATCTCTGAGGCTCAGAATAGTGATATTGAAGAAATGCCAACGTATGAGGAGGTGAAGAAGGTGATATTTAGCTTTAATAGAGAAAGTGTTGGGAAATCAGATGTCTTCACAAGCTTAGTTTATCAAACCTATTGGGAAATCATTGGACAAGACATTCAGATATGGTAAGGGCCTTTCTCTGTGACCAAGATTCATTACACACACTATCTTGGTTCTTATACCAAAGAAGGATCTGATCACTACCTTCTCTGTCATGAGACGAATTAGCCTGAGTAATTTTGTGAATAAAATATTTAATTTTCAGACTGATTAATGAAAGACTAGTAGATGGATTAGAGAATATTGTTTCTCTAAATCAAGCTGGATTAGTGAAGGGAAGAAGTATAGCTGAGAATATACTAGTGACACAGGAAATTATCTCAACAAATCAGATTAAGAACCAAGACCACTAATGTGGTTATGAAGTTAGATATGGAAAATACTTATGATAGATTATCATGTTTATGTTTATCCAAGACACTAATGAAGATAGGCTAATTGATAGGGTTTACAAATCATAAGCAATAACAACAAGGGTTCATCCAATCTTCTAGGGGAGGTTAAAAAGGGGATCCACTGTTTCTTACTTTGTTCATCCAAGCAGCAAAAGTACTTACAAGGAATCTCAACACTTTGAACCAGATACCACAATTCATAGGTTATGGCATGCCTAGAAAGAGGCCTGAGATCAATCATGTTTCTTATGCAGATGATATGATCATATTCTCATCAGTTGATCTGTTTTCGCTTAGGTGGATTATGGTTGTACTCAGGAAATATGAAATTAAACTCAGGATAGAAAACTAACAAGGAGAGAGTTATATTTATATGCATCATAATGTCACAGGAGACATCAGTATAATGGTGGAGATCACTACTGGAATATGTAGAAAGAGCTTTCCCTTCACCTACTTATGATGTCCAATCTACTACAGTAGAAAAAGGAAGGAGTTCTATAATGCTACTTTGATTAAGATTATGAACAGATAGCAATCTTGGAAAGGAAAGATTCTCTCTTTTGGAGGAAGGATTGTTTTAATCAAACATGTCCTACAAAGCATGTCGATACATCTACTATCAGGAATGAATCCCCCAGATGGTGTGATAATCAAATGCACAGGATGTATGCTCAGTTCTTTTGGAGTAATACAGTGGGTGGGAAGAGTATAACATTGGTCTGCTTGGCCTCATTTATGCTTACTAGTACAGGAAGAGGGAATGGGATTTAGACCTCTACATGATGTTTCTATGACATTATATTGCGAATTCTGGTGGAAATTTTGCAACAAAACCCACACTGGAGTTCTTACATAAGCAATAAATATTGTATGGAGGAGAATGCAGTCAGAGTTCAATGAAAATATGGATCACAGACATGGATTCGAGAGAACATCATATATGGTGGCATACTAGGAAATACTCAAGTCTGGTATGACAATTGGACAGGATTGGGTGCACTGTACTATGCCACACCAAATATATCTTGTGATGAAAGAATTCAGAATGTTAATGAGCTGCAGATCAATGAAGAATGGAATAAGGAGAAATTGAGATAGCTCATCTCGTCCTACCTGAGGATATAGTGGAGCACATCACTGAGACCATACAACCACCAAATACTAAAAAGGAGATGGACAGGCCATAGTGGCTACTAGACAAAAGAGGGGAATTCTAAATGAGCTCAATCTGGGAGTACATCAGACTCAACGGCCAGAAGATGGAGACCTATTAGAACATGTGGACTAAAGGACTTCCTGTAAAAATCTTATTCTTTCTGTGGAGATTTTGGAAGTACAAACTACCACCAGATGATGCTTTCAAGAGGATGAGATATAACATGGTATATACATGCTGGTGTTGCTCAAATCCTAAGGAGGAGATATTCCAGCATCTATTTGCCACATATTTTTCTACTGATAGGACTTGGTTCTACTTTTGCTCTCTTGCAGGTATTAACATAAATGGATTGCAATAACAACAGATTTTAATGAAATAGTGGCAAACTTCTGTAGCAGGCAGGCTAAAATCAATTTATCATGTTGTACCCACCTGCTATAATCCTATGTGAGCTATGGAAGAGAAGGAATACATTAAAACATGTGGAGAAGAGGTCAGTTGGAAGAGTTATATATACCAATTCAGAAAGCCATCCATTCAACAAATATCACATGATAGGAATGATGTGATCCGTTTGATGGAAAGGTGCAAACCTAAGCTGAAAGTGACTAAAGTAGCCCCCGAGACGGATGGCTAATCTGTAACACAGATGGGGTATCAAGGAGGAATCCAAGAAAAAGTAGTTATGGTTTTTGCATCAGAAACGTAGCATATGCTCAAGCTAAGGAGATTGGGAATGCTACAAATACAAAATCTAATACACTGGTTCTTCTTCAAGGTAACGTCCTTTGCCAACGATTTCAACTTAAATTCCTTCATATAATCATTAATAGAAATCTTATAAGTACATCAAAAAAAGAGAAAAATATGAGACCAGTGGCTATCCTAGAAGCTATATATCAAGTATTGTAATAGTAACAAACATTTTGGATCATATCATCCAGTCATATTCAATGTTTTTCACAAAGAATACTGTGGAAACAACCTTGGAAGGAGTGGTCAATTGGATTGAAGAGATGCAAAAAATAAGCAAAGACATGCAGATATAGAATAATGATAAATCACATAAGAAGAAAAAAAGGATGAAGATACAAATCCATAAGAATAGAATGAATGGATACAGAGATAAGTGAAGATCGAGGGCACATGTAGTCACAGTCAGATCAATATAGAAAAGTAACCAAATCATGGCATCACTAGAATTAATAACAAACAAAAGGGGAAACCTTACTCCACCATAAACAAGGATCCACGGAGACGGAGACGGAGACGACAACTCCCAAACTTTACCAAGAAACAAGGCACTAGGTGGCCCCAAAGAATCTCTACACACAGAATCTCTACACACAAATTATGACAAAATAGTCCCGATAATGTTTTTTTTTTCTTTTTGCTTTCATTGGATTAAATAATCGTCATATATATTCTCTTAGTAGGCGTTTGGCCATGCATGAAATGAAATCAGCGTTTGGACATACGATTTTATGCTGATTCCATATCATTAGATGTGATTTCATATTCTCCAAAAATCATTATATGATAATTCCATATCATGATTTGAGATATTTTAATACAAAAATTGATCCACGAGTTTATATTTTGTTAAAACAACCTCACATTTATTTCATATGTAAATAAAATTTATAATCACATCATTACTTTTTAAAATTTATTATTCTCACCGATATAAAATTTATTATTCTCACCAACATATAGTCACTTTAACTCACACCAATCGATTGTTAAAGTGATAAAATATTTATGGTCTATGAGCATGAAAATATAGTTGCGGATGATATTGACCAACAAATGGCTCAAAGTAATAATGTTGGTTCATCTTCTCGGTCACATGATCGAGAAATGCAAGTTCAACGTGAGGAAATTGTCCGTACTATGTGGGAGGAGTATATTAAAGACTAGTACACTACAATTTATGTTCATTTTTTTTTATTAAATTAAAGTTAGATGAAATAATTACTTAAGTGGAGAACAAATAACTTTGTAATAATTTATTATGCGATTTTATAATTTTTTATTTAGATTGAATAAACAATTGGGGCTATTGTAATAGTTTTACTACTTGTGGAATTTTTATGTTTATTAGAGAAAATATACAACACAAAAATTTCATATCGTATATCTAAACAAAACTTTAATTTTATCTCAAGATTTCATATCATGATACCATATCATAATTTCATATCATGATAACATATCGCATGGTCAAACGACCCTTATTATATAAGATGGAGTTTGCACAAAGCAAGCTCCTCCCCGTCAACATGCCCGCTTGGCATAGGGGTAATTTTGATATTTTGTAGGGGTAATTCTGGTATATTGCTATTATTATGCTTAAATAAATTATACTTTATTGCTTCAAAAATTATACTTTCTCATATTTTGACTTAGAAAACAGCTTGTATGTTTCCTTTTAACCATTTCCTTCAGCCGAAAAAAGGTGCTGCATGTGGGCCTATCCTTATCCCTCTTTTTTCCACATTTCAATTTGATTTTTATTTATTTTGTTTCTGTATGAACCTCTTACTTTTGATTTCCAGCTCTATTCCTCTTTCATTACGTCCCTCACAGCTTCTTCTGGCTCTCATTTTTTCCCACTTTGTTGATTTCATGGTAAATTATTCATTAAAAATGTTAAAAATTACATTCCTAAATCCTAATATTTCATTAATAAAAATACAGTAAAGGTGAAAATACTGGATATTTAAAAGAACTAATTTTATTTTTAAAAATAAAAAATAATATTTGAAAATCGAAGTTATATTTGATCATAATTATTTTATATTTTGATGAAGAATTTAAAGTGAAAAAGTCAAAACAACTTTTGAATTTTTCTTCCGATTCAATCTAAAATTGAATTTCAAAATTTTCTAACCGATTGAAAAAGAAAAGTAAGAAAACAAAGTTAAATGAAAAAATAGTACAAATCACAATAATTAACAACATAAATATTTAAAAGACATATAAAAATTTGATTAACTCGCGTGCCACATAAATTCAGACAAAGGAAGTAACATATATAATTTAAGAGGACTAAAAAAATATTATAAATCACAATAATTAACATATTAAAATTTTAAAAAACATATAAAAAATTTGGTTCACTCTCAAAATTATATCAGTGTCACATAAATTGAGACAAAATGAGTAACATATCTTATTTGAAAATGACGTAAAAACTATTACGAATCACAATAACTTTAAAAGACATAAAAAAATAATTGTTTGACTCACGAAATTCTACGCCACATAAATTGGAAGAGAATGAATAATATTATCTGAAAAATATGTAAAAAGTACTATAAATCATAAAAATTAATAATTTACAATATTCACAAATTATATTAAAAAAATGATTGACTATTTAAATTTCATTTATATGTTACATAAATTGAAACAAAATAAGTACTCCATCTGTTTAAAAAAGAATGTCCTCATTTCCTTTTTAATCTGTTTCAAAATAAGTACCCCTTTCCTTTTTTGGCAACACTTTAACTTTAATTTTGCACTTGACATGTTTAAAGCCATAATATTAAAGGGCAGTTTGGTACATTTGACATAACTTTAATTTAGAACCATAAGATTAAAAAGTCTTCTTTCTTTTCTTAAACTCCATTCCAAATCAAACTAGTACATTCTTTTTGAAACGAAGGGAATAATATATATTGGGTCCGTGCTGACACGGGCTCCAAATCTAGTATATATATAAAAGAGAACTTTAGGCCCGCCTACGTAGCGCCACCACAAACTAGAATTCCTTTTTAATTTATTTATTTCCAAAACTAGCATTCCTCTTTCATGAAAAATTGTGACATTTATGAAAAGTTGTTACTTGTATGAAAATTGTTACTTGTATGAAGTTGCAATTTTAATGAAGAGTTGCGACTTTTATGAAAAGTTGTGACTTTTATGAAAAGTTGTGACTTTTATGAAAAGTTGCGACTTTAATGAAGAGTTGCGACTTTTATGAAAAGTTGTGACTTTTGTGAAAGGTTGTGACCTTTCCGAAGGGTTTCAACTTTTCCAAATAGTTGGAACCTTTTTGATAAGGCACAATAAATATTTGTTCACACTACCATTTTTTGTCTATAAATAGAGGGATTTCCTCTCATTTTAAAACAACAAAAAGTCTGAACCTCCTCCTCCTCTTCTTCCTCTTCCTCTTCCTCTTCTTCTTCTTCACAATTAAATATTTGTGTACTTTACTCTTGTTGAGTGGCTCATTGACACCATTGCTTATGTTACAGATCCTGGTATGTATTTTTAGAGTTATTAATTTATGCTTATGTTATTAAGGATAAATGATAAGATGTAATAATTTTCATTTTCCTTTGCATTATTAATGTTTGTTTTCGTAATCTTGTATGTAAGATAATATAGTGTTTTAGTTTTAATGACTGATAGGTTTTAAGTATTATTTTATAAATTTTGTGATTTTAAATTCCTGCGCGAAGCGCATGTAATTTTATTAGTTTTTAATATATAACAAATATATTAATTTTGATCATTTATTTTAAATTTAATAATATAAAATTTAACGGTGAACACCAATTGGCTACCAAAATTCACTATTGTATCTTCTTTGTCACTAAACTCCATAAAATATAACATTACTATCTCTTACTTTCTCTAACAAAATTTACAATTGTTTCTTGACCAATTTTGTATCTACAAATTATAAATAAAAAATAACGTTGGGGTAGTTTCAAATATATACAATAAAGTAATTAGTTTACAATAAAGAGATGATGCATAAGTACCTCTAAACTATAATCGAAATCTCAGCGACACAACTAAACTTAACTAGGTCCTATTATCCCCTAAACTATTTTAAAACGGAATAAACACACCCAAAAGCTGACATGGCAAAGAGGGTGTACATACTCTCAGAACAAAAATATTGGACACATGTCCTTTTTTAATTGGTCTATTTCCGATTAGTCAGTACATATAATTATTTACATTAAAACATA